ATTAAGCACCTACTATGTGCCAGACCTGGGCTACCAACCTCTTCCAAGTTGGGAAGGGGAAGAAGAGAAAGAGAGAAAAGAGAAGCTGGTAAAGGGAATAAAATAGTCTTCTGGAAAATTCAACCCAGCTGTTCTAGAAGTTTCTCATAGCCACCTGGCACCTAAGGCTCAACACAGTCTGGCTCCAGCTACCTTTTCAGCCTTATCTCACATCATTCCCCTTCCCATAGTTTCTGTTCCAAGCAAACTCACTGTTCCTCAACTGCATCCTGCCCCCTTCTGCCACCATATATGTGTGCAGGCTGCCCTCTACTGAAATTCTTCACTTCTTTCAAGGCCAGGGTCATAAGCCACCACCTCTGAGAAGCCCACCCTGATTCCCTCCGGCTGAAACTGATTCTCCTTCTTAAAACTCCTAGAGCACTTGGGCTCAATCTTTCCTTTGACCCTTGATATATTTTGTCTCATATCCTACTTATTTGCATATATGCCTCTTACTTTTTAGATTATAAACTCCTTGAGAGCAGGGTTGTCTTCATTTTTGTACCCACATGTAGAATATAATGTGGTTTTCTACCTCCTATTATTGCTGTTCAGTCATTCAGTCATGTCTAACTCCTTGTGAGCCATTCAGAGTTTTCTTGGCAAAGATATTGGAATGGTTTGCCATTTCCTTCTCAAGCTCATTTTACAGATGAGAAAACTGAGGCAAACAGTGTAAAGTGATTTGCCTGAGGTCACACTGCTAGTAAGTGTCTGAGGCTGGATTTGAACTCAGGAAGATGAGTCTTCCTGACTCCAAGCTCAATCCACTGTGCCACTAGTTGCTAGTTAAATCGAATTAAACTGACCGTGCTAATACAAAAGAATAGGGACATAATTTCAGACAATACTAATCCTAAGCAGTATTTACCTGTAATGTTAGAAGGTAACAGATACTTTCGAATTTTCTTTGTCTTCCATTACATAAAAACAATTTTGCATTTTTTGAGCATATACCTACAGTCACCAGGAGGAGAGAGTCCTAAAATCCACCTGCATGTGTGCACACACCCACGCACATACAATCAAAAAAAAAAAATGGCATTGTGGTAAGGATGGGTAGCCTCTGCTCAACTATAATTGGATACATTTCTCACAATCCTTGGAAAGCACAAAGGTAGAACGTGGATTCTGGTTCCAACTCTTACACTGACTGTGACCTTGGGCAAGTACCTTCCTTACCCCGGGTGTCAATATATTCAATCTATACAATGAGATGACTGTACTAGTTTTTAACATTCCCTCTATTTCTTATGGCTTTTTGATTCTAAAGCCTTTTCCAACTAGCTCGGTAGCAAAATGGATTAAGCACTAGTCCTGAAGAAAAGAAAATCTGAGTTCAAATCCAGCCTCAAATACGTACTAGCTGTGTGACTCTGTCAAGTCACTTAACCCTGTTTGCCTTAGCTTCCTCATCTGTAAAATGAGCTGGAGAAAGAAATGGCAAACCATTCCAGTATCTTTGCAAGAAAACCCTAAATTCAGTTATGAAGAGTTGGACATGACTGAAACGACAGAATTCTATTATGTGCTAGGCACTAAGGTTACAAATAGAAAAGTGAAACAGTTCCTGCCCTGAAGGACCTTACAATCTACCTAGGGGGGAGAGAACATGTACCTATAGAGGTGGATTTCTTTTTGATGAGGGAAGGTTTCAGTGTAAAACGTGGGTCATGAGCTGAGCCTTGAAGGAAGCTTTAAAGGATTGTAAGAGGCAGACGTAAGAAAGGAGGGCATTCCATGCATGGAGATAGCTTATGAGATGGGAGATGAAGGGTCATGCGTGAAGAACAGCATGATGGCCAACCTGATTGGATAATAGTATGTGTGAAGGGGAGTAATGTATAACAAGGCTAGAAAAATAGGATGGAACTAGGTCATGAAAGGCTTTAAATACCAAACAGAGAAATGTATATTTAATTCTATGTGTAATAAGAAACCACTGGAGTTTATTAAGTAGGAAAGTGACATAATCGGACCTGCCCTGTAGGAAAATCATTCTGGTAGCTGAGTGGAGAATGGGTGAGAGGGCGCTGAGGCAGAGACACTACTGAAATAATGACAGCCTGAACTAGGGCGATGGCCGTGAGTCAAAAGAAGATACATGTGAGAGGTCTAATAGAGGTAGAAATGACAAGATTTGGCAACTGATTCTATCTGTGTTGTGAATGAGAGTGAGTTCGGTATGTCACCAAGATAGTGAACGTGAGTGACCAGAAGGATGGCAACACCCCCAGCAGAAACAGGGGAGTTTGAAAGAGGAGTAGGCTTGAGGACAAAGATGAGTTCTTTTTTTACACATACTGACTTTGAGATGCCTGTGGGAGATCCAGTTAGAAATGTCCACAGAAGTCAGTTAATGATGTGGAACTTAGGGGTGAGACTCAAGCTAGACATAGAAATCAGAAAGTCATCATGTACTCTTCAAACCAGCGATACTCGCCTCCTGGCTGTTCCACGAATAAGACACTCTTTCTCTCAGCTCTAGGCATTTTCTCTGGCTGTCCTTCATTCCGGGAACGCTCTCCCTCCTCACTTCTGACTGCTGATCTCTCTGGCTTCTTTAAGTCCCAACTAAAATCCCACTTGCTACAAAGCCTTCCCCAGCCCTTCTTAATTCCAGTGCCTGGGACAGCTAGGTGGCGCAGTGGATAGAGCACTGGCCCTGGAGTTAGGAGGACCTGAGTTCAAATCCAGCCTCAGACACCTTACATTTACTAGCTGTGTGACCCTGGGCAAGTCACTTAACCCCCATTGCCTCACCAAAAAGCAAAAAAAAAAAAAAAATTCCAGCGTCTTCTCTGTTAATTACTTCCTATTTAACCTGTATATAGCTTGCCTTGTATATATTAGTTGGCATGTTGTCTCCATTAGAATGGAAGCTCCTTGAGGTCAGGGACTGTCTTTTACCTTTCTTTTTTTATCCCCAGTGCTTAGCACAGTGTCTGGTACATAGTTATTGTTGTTGTCATATAGCTAGTAAGTGTAGTAGGTACTTAATAAATGTATATTGTTTGAGATCAGCAGAAACAAGATAAAACCACAGAAACAGACATGGGAGGAGGGGGAGGGGGAGAAGGGGGAGGGGAAGGACAAGGAGGGGAAGGAGGAAAAGGGGGAGGAGGATGGAGAGGGGGAAGGGGAGGAGAAGGAGAAGAAAGAATGATCCTTGGGGTCCACCCACAGTTAGCAATCCTATTTGAGTCTGACACCACTGCTAGGCATTCATCTAAGACCAAAGTGCAAAGAAAGCGTCAATCTACATTAGTTAGGGAGTTTCCTTACCTTCGAATTTCCTATAGCAATGAAATCTCAGGTCCAGTCTCTCTTTCATCCCTCTTCTAGGATGATAACCACTGGGTCCCTGTTAGCCATGACAGCCTGAGCTGAGGGCCCAAAGGTGGGGCTCAGTGTGGTCACCTTTCCCAGGTGGGGAAACTGAAGTTCAGACTGGGTGAGTACCTTGCCTTGTATCAGAGGGACTTAATGGTACAGCAAGAATTATGACTGCCTAAGCTAAGTATTTTCTGGTGGCCCAAATGTCCTCTCACTGAAGGTCTTCAAGCAAAGACTGGCTAACCACTTATTGGAGAAGTCCTTCTCAGCTACAGATTAGGAAGGAAAGAAACAACCATTTATTAAGCACCTATTATATACCAGGTACTGTATACTTTACAAATATTATCTCATTCGATGCTCACAGAAGCCATGAGAGGTAGGTTCTATTACTATCCCCATTTTACAGTTAAGGAAACTGAGGCAAACAGAAGATAAAGTGACCCGCCCAGGATCACAAGTCTAGTATATGTCTAAGGTCACATTTGAACTCAGGTCTTCCTGACCCTAGGCCCAGGGCTCTATCCACCTACTGCCTAGATTACATGAGGGCCCTTCCAACTCTAATTAAAAAAAAAAAAAATTACTTCGATCCAGTGGGCAGAAGGAGGAGTAATGTCAAGGAGGGGGTGGGGGTTGGGATGGGGATTTGCAGAGTCAGGCTTCAGTTCTATAAGGTGAAATTTCCTAACCATAATGCCCCACATTTCTATAGGTCTTTAAGATTAAAGTGCTTTCCTCCCAATCGTCCTGTAAGGCAGGTAGTACAGCTCCCACTTTATAACTGGAAGACTAAGATTCAGTGATTTGCACAGGGTCACACAGCTACTAAGACTTGGAGCTGAGTTTCAAACCCAGGTCTCATAACCCCAGATCTAGTGCGCGTACCTTTATGCCATCCATCCAGTGGTTCCTAACCAGCACGTCTGTCCAGAAGAAGAATGGGTTGCAATTTCCCTGTTACTAGATGCTGAATGACCACTGGTTGGGGCAGAAGTAAAAAGGATTTCTGCCCCAATTCCCTCCCTAGTCTGAGGTTCTGAAATTCATTGATTCATTCCAAGTAACTCCCTGAGTCCTCTAAACACAAAAGCAAACTGCTCTTAAGCCACACAAAAAACTGGATTCAGGGTCTGATGTGATAAACAGCATTTCCTCCTCCTCCTCCTCCTCCTCCTCCTCTGTCTTCTCAGGGAATATTCTCAAGGAGGGAGTAACTGTTCCCTCTAAGTCTGAGTCTGGTTGTGAGAGAAAGTTGGTTAATATCGGCATCATGGAACAAGGGAAGAGATATTGGACAAGAAGCTAGGAGACCTGATTTTGATTGAGCTCCCATACTAACATTTCCTGTCTTTGTAACTTCAGACAAGTAATTTCACATCTCTGGACCTGTTTCCTGAGGGGAATGAACTACATGACCTCTCACTAAGATCATTTCCAGTTCTCAGTTCTACGCTTTCACAATCCCAGTTCTCAATTCTACAATCTCAATTCTTAAGAGAAGACCCAGGCTCTTCCTTCCCTTGTCCAAAGAGGATGAAGGGGGAAGCTAGGTGGCTTCTCATCAGAAGTTACTTCTGATAACGAGGTCACAGCTTTCCCTCTATATGCTACTTTCTCACCTGTGGTATCAGCACCAATGATGGCAAGTGGAGGCAGGTTGGGTGAGCAGAAGGCTGCAAACCGTTGAGAATCCACCTTTGTCACCCGGTTCCCCCGGTACAGCTGGTTTTGAAAGAAGAGGCAGACCTGCAAGAGAAACAGGAGCTCAGTGCAGACTCAGCAGGTGCAGGTGGGAGGAGGAGATGAATTAATGGGGACCCGGGGGGCCCAAACCCCTGCTGATCCCCTCCTATTCTGACTGTGAAAGAGGAAGAGAAATGGAGAGCAGGGAGAGGCAGACTTCTTTCCTAAGGAGGGACAGTGACACAATCATGAGAACAGGCTGAGATCCAGGAGTTTGAACCCCAGATTGAATGGCCTCTACCATTAAATGTCAGAGTTGGTCTAAAAAGAAGAAGAAGAAGAAGAAGAAGAAGAAAATAAGTTATGAGAGAGACAGCATATGGGCAAGACCTCCTTGACGCCTATCAATTGAGGAATGGTTGACAAGTTGTAGTATATGATTGTGATGGAATACTATTGAGCAGGATGCTTTCAGGAAAATCTGGAAAGACTTACATGAACTGATACAAAGTAAAACGAGCAGAACCAGGAGAACATTGTACACAGTAACAACAACATTGTGTGATGATCAACTGTGAATGACTTAGCTATTCTTAACAATAAAATGATCTAAGACAATTCTGAAGGACTCATGATGAAAAGTGTTAACCACCTCCAGAGAAAGAACTGATGGAGTCTGAATGCAGATTGAGGCATATTTTTTTAACTTTTGTAACTGCTTTTTTTGGGGGGGGGGGGGAGTTTGTCCACATTTTCTTTCGCAACATGGCTAATATGGAAATGTTTTGCATGACTGCTCATGTATAATCAATATCAAATTGCTTGCCTTCTTAAGGAAGTGGGAAGGAGAGGAGGGAGGGAGAGAATTTGGAACTCAAAATTTTAAAAAAAGTTGAAACAATTTTGTTTATGTGTAATTGAGAAAAAACAAAATAAAAATTAAATGTTCATAAAGTCCCTCAACATAAGTATCCTAGGTTTTAGAAGAAAAAAAGGCCTTGAAATCAATTTGTCCAACCTCTTCATTTTACAGAGAGTCTTCAGAGCTGAAAGAGACCTTAGAGATAATCTAGTAGCCCAGCCTTCTTATTTTACAGGGCAGGAAAATGAGGCCAAGAGAGATTAAGTAACTAATCCAGGGTTACATAGCTACCAAGTTTCAGAGCTGGCACCTGAACCCAGGCCCTCCAATTCCACATGACACTCTTTCTATTGCACCACACCACCCAATTCTGAAATCAGGGCTGTCTTCCACTTCATTGGATTCTGTGAACTGCCTCATTAAAAAAATATTGAGAAAAAATGAAGGGAGGCTCTGGAAGAAGGTACCTGCTGGGAGGAGAATCACTTGTTGTCCACTAAGAGGGACAAAAGTAGCATTATATAGTGGAAAGAATACTGCTTTGTCATCTCCTACCTGGGTGACCTTGGGCAGGTCATTGCCCTCCCTGGACCTCAGTTTTTCCATCTGTAAAACTTAAAATGTTAAGGGAACCTCAGAGTTGTCAAGTATCTTAATGGAAAATTTTGCAAGAGGAATTTTATTTTTTAAATCCAGGTCTTCTGACTCCAAACCCAACTTCAAGCTCATTCCAGGTATTGCTCTGTACTTAAAACACTTCAGAGAAACATCAGCTATTGTTATTTCTATTAGTAATAATAATTGCTAGCATTTATATAGTTTTAAAATGTGCAAAGTACTTTACGTGTCATCTCATTTGACCCTCACAATATCCCCATGACAGAGGTGACTTTCTCAATATTTTTTAATGACATAGGCGATATTATTATCCCCATTTTGCAGATGAGAAAGCTGAGGCTGACATAAGTCAAGTGACTTGACCAACGTCACACAGCTAGCAAGTGTGCAAAGCAGGATTTTAATTTGGGTCATTTTGATTCCAAGTCCAACACTCTATCTATATATCACCACCTAGTTGCTGTAATAATATTTATTCTACTATGTGATCCTATGTATATACTTGATGCCTCAGTGATTCAGTTGAGACCAGGCAGAAATAAGGTCCTTTTGATATGACTCCTTTCACAAGTGCAAGCAAAGTCCCAGCTTAGGCAAGTGAAAAAAAAAGTCCGTACCTCTGGAATCACATAATGTCCGGCCATGAGGAGGCCACCAAGCAGGTTCTCCCGGCCATCATTCCAAAGAGTGTGGATGGGGACCTAGAAAAGGGAGATGGAGATGGAGGTGGAGAACGGCACCTCTTCTTTTCCTCCTCTGTATAACAGGCATTGCCCTATTCCCACCTCAGTTATCATTCCCTGTGGTTGCTCCCTATCACTAGCACCGTCAGTCACTCCCCCTGGTCACTGCAGAGAGATTGGACAGGAGGGCCCAGTGAGTGTCTCTGCAGGCTGCTGGAGGTACTGGGATAAGACTGTCACCAAAGACAGTGGAAGGAGTAATATTTTGTACCAAGTCTAGGGCAGGCAGAGGTGGCTGAAGCAGCCTTTTCCCTCCCTTGCTCCCCTGTGTCCTAAGCAGAGTCAGGGGCTGGTTACCTGAGCGCCTGTGAGGATGACAGTTTTCTGAAGGTTCCCTAGAATGAAGGAGAGCATGGAGGAGGCAAAGGCCATGGTGTCTGTGCCGTGGATGATTACAAAGCCAAAATACTGCTCATAATTCCTCTAACAGGGAAACAGAGGAGAGGGAAAAAGAAAATCTCAGTCAAAAAAACATGGCAAAGCCAAACCCTCTACAAATCACCACCCCAAAGTTATTGATCCCTGTAGTCACTGCCTCCCCTCCACCATGGTGGTTCTCCACAATCACTACCTTGAGGTCGCTTGGTCCCCATGGTCATCTTCCCTTGCAGTAAATCCTCAGGATCACTGATTCCTCAGTCACCCCAGGGACAGCAGAGTCCCACCCAACCCCCAACTACCATCCCTGCCTCCAGCTTAGCCCCTGAAGCCATCATCTAGCAGAGCCATCCCTGTGGAGATGGAACTGGCAACTTCTGCCAGTGATGCAGCCCTTACTTACTAGACCATCACAGATACTATAGACCCAGAAAGGACAGTTCTCACCACCAAAGTTCTTGATATTGTCAAGGGGCTCAACATCAGAAATAGATATGGTTTCATCAGGGGAATGACACAAAAGAAGATTCATTACCATCTTCTTTGCTGCTGCACCCTAAGAATCATGGGACCTTTCTATTTGACTTTCAGCTGTAACTTCCTCTATGTGATGTCATGCCTTATTAGAATGTAACTTCCTTGAGCAATTTGGAACTATGCCCAAAGGGCTATAAAACTGGGCATACCCTTTGACCTAGCAATACCACTGAGGTCTGTATCCTAAAGAGATCAAAAAAAGGGAAGAGGACCTATTTGTACAAAAATATTTATAGCAGCTCTTTTTGTGGTGGCAAAGAATTGGAAATTAAGGGTATGCCCATCTATTGGGGAATGACTGAACAAGTTGTGGTATGACTGTGATGGAATACTATTGTGCTATAAGAAATGACAAGCAGGATAGATTCAGAAAAACCTGGAAAGACTTAATGAATTAATGCAAAGTAAAGTGAACAGAACCCTTTGAACATTGAACAGCAATATTGTACTATGATCAACTGTGAATGACTTAGCTATTCTCAGCAATACAATGATCCAAGGCAATTCCAAAGGACTCATGAAGAAAAATGCTATCCACACCCAGAGAAAGAACTGATGGAGTCTGAATGCAGACCAAAGCATACTATTTTTTCACTTTCTTTATTTTTTCATTGTTTTTTTTTCCTTTTTAGTCTGTGTCTTCTTTCACAACACGACTAACATGGAAATATGTTTTGCATGATTGCACAAGTATAGCCTATATCAAATTGCTTACTGTCTGAGGGAGTGGGGAGAGGAAGGAGGGAGGGAGAGAATTTGGAACTCAAAATTTTTAAAAATGAATGTTAAAAATTATTTTTACATGTAATTGGGAAAAAATTAAACATTTTTTTTTAAAAAAAGAATGTAACCTTCTTGAGAACAGAAACTGTCTTGTTCTTCTACGTAGTAAGTACTTTAGAAATGTTTTTTCATTCATTCATTGTAAGACCACTATCTCTCCATTGCTACTCCCCACAGACATCCTTACTGTTGTCACTCCTTAAGGTCACTCCACCATCACTGTTCCCTACTTTGGTCACAGATTGAATGAAACTCAGAGCTTGGGAGGATCTCTGAAGTAAAATAGCACAAACCCAAAGAATGGCCATCCCCCTTCCACTTGACTTCCAAGGATAAGAAGCTCACTGTCTCCTAAGGAAGCCCATTCCACTTTGGAGCAGCCTTGCTTATTTGGAAACCTTTCCTTACACAACAGAGCCAAAAATCTGCATCTCTGCAGCACCCATCCATCCTCACAGTCCTCCACAATTACATTTCTGAACCCTTCCTCCCCCACTCCACCAAATTGGAGTTACTGATCACTGACACCAATGGCCACTTTTGAAATTTAAATTTAAGGGGAACCTCAAAACCAGTTGACAGGGCAGAATTCAAAGGATTGACCTTGAACTGCAAGAAGCTAATCTAGGTTCGGCATTCGGGGGGATTTTCTTCCTGATCCACAGACTACTGAATGAGAATACTCTCCTTTTCTGGGGGTATTTACATTATATTTCCATATTCTTACCTCATTGATCCACATATTCTGTCCCTAACTAGAATATCCTCTGCCCTTTCCCACTCTTCCCAGCCATGTACATAGCCTGTAGGGCCTGGTTCAGGTCCCACCTGCTCCATAAGGCATCTCCAGTCCACCCCAGTCCATGTTGAATGGAACCTTCATTTGTTATATTTCAATCACTGTTCTGTGATATCTATTAGATTGTCCCTTTAACTTTTCATACCTGTTTTACCACCCCAGCTTGCTCCCTGAGGGTAGGGACCAAACCTTCTTGTCATGTATTCCCCTAGCACAGGACTAGGCACATGGGACACATGGAAGATATCCAGTGAATAATCAGTGAATGAATAAACACAGACAGAATTTCATCAATGTGATTGGTTGTGCCAGTGGGCATAGACAGACCAATAGAACATGAGAGCTGGAAGAACCTTCAAAACATAGAACATAGAATGTCAAATGTGAAATGGATCTTAGAACATAGAAGAGAGAATGTCAGCCCCAGAAATGACCTTAGAACATAGAACATAATATCACTGGAAGCGTGACCTTAGAATCTAGAACATAGAATGCCGTAACTAGAAGGCAGCCTAAAAGCAATCGCATACATCTCCCTCGTCTTGTAGAAAACTGAGATCTGGGAGATTAAGAAAGTTGCCCACAATCACAAGGAGATGACCTTTCCAGGTTTTCCCACCATTCCCCCACTTTATTAAGGTAAGAATTCAAATGAAAGCTTCAGAGACTAAATGTCATAAGAAAACTCTGGCTCTTCCCCAGCAAAAGAAAAAATGAGTCTTCTTAATCTTGGTTAACAAAGCTAGGAGAGGTAGCTGACACAGGGGATGACAGTCAGGATCCAAAAGGATCATGAAAGCCAAGGGCACTAGGCAGAATAAAAATTTTTGCACTTAAGTACAAAGAAACCCAAACAAACAAAACCATAAGTATAAGATGGGGGAGGCATGGCTAGCCAGCAATTGTTCTGACAAAGATTAAAGGATTTTACTGACAGGCAAAGTCAGTAATACAGCCATGGAATACAGTAGCCAAAAAAGCTAATGTGCTCTTGGCCTGCATTCAAAGCAGCATAGGAATAGAGGAATGACAGTCCCTCTGTACTCTGAATCTGGAGCATATTCTATTCAGTTTTGGGCATCACCATTTCAGAAAGGCTTTGCGAAGCTAGAGAGTGCCCAGAGCAGGGCAGCCAGCAGTCCAGTTCAGGACTTTGAGTTTGTCATATGAGAGTCTGTTGAAGGAACTGGGGGTGTTTAACTTGGAAAAGAGAAGGTTCAGTAGGGGAAAGGATAGCTTCAAGTATCTGAAGCGCTGGCTTGTGGAGGAGGAACTAGACTTGTTCCATCTGACTCCAGAGGGCAGGAACAGGAGTAATGGGTAGAAATCACAAAGAGACAAATCTAGGCTCTGTCAAGAAAAGCTTCCTAACAAGAGAGATTTCCAAAAGTGGGGCAGAAGTGGTGAGTTCCTCCTCCTTGGTGGTTTTGAAACAGATGTTAGATGACTACTTGTCAGATAAGTTATAGAGGGGCTTCCTTTCATGTATGAGTTGTTCTAGATGGCCACTGAAATATCTTCCAACTCTCAAATTCCATGATTCTGAATAAGAAGTAGAGGTCTGTGCAGGGTGCCAGAGCAGGGAGCTGGAACAGCAAAGGAAAGAAAATGGGTAACATCCTAGAGTAGGATATTAATTGGCTGTGAATGGACCTGACCGGCCTGGAAAAGCTGGCCAGTACAGATCAGCCTGAGAGCTCTGTTCTGGCTGCTGAGGCCTCCCTGTCTAATAATGTTTCCTCGAAATTTGTTTACTCATAGAGCTTTGCCTGCTGGCAGCCCCTAAGGTATAGCCAACCAGGAGAAATCCGCGGGCAGGGCAAAGACGTTGATGGCCAAAGCCCAGTAGGTAGCAAGAGGAGGGCGAGGGGCTCCCTCTAGTGGCTGACTGCCGCATTGAATGAAGTAGATGAAAATCAGCAGTTTGCTTCGATAATTTCCCAGACAGGAGACTTCTAAAAGGAAAAAATTTGTAGCTCCCAGAATCTTAGGAGTCAGAAGCAGCCTCAAAGGTCATCCTATCCAACCCAGAACTAGCAAAGAACTCATCCTATCACATCGCTCGCTGCCAAGTGGTCTCCCACCTTCCACATAATCTCCCATGACCTCCCAACTATGGGCTGACTCTATTAGCAAATTTTTCCCACCATCAAGTCAAAAACTTGTCTCCCTGTATACTTTCCTCCCGTTACTCCTTGTTTTGGTCCTCTGAAGCCACGAAACACAAATCTGATGTCTCTCACACCTGGATAAAATACCTGAAGACTACCATGGTATCTGTGATTCCTCTCTTCTCTTTGCCAGGCAAAACTTCCCCATTTCCTTCAACCAACCCATCCCTCCCATGGCATGATCTCCAGTTCCTCCCCATCCTGGTGATGGGATTACAGGATTTCCAGCTGAAAGAGACTGCAAAGATCATCTAATCCAATCACAGAAAGTCAGAGCTGAATGGGCCCACAGAGGCCAACTGGTCCAACACTCTTATTTTACAAATGTGGAAACTGAGTCCCCTCTGGTAGGTAGTAGTAAAAATAGCGAAACCAGAATTTGAACCCAGGTGCATCAACTACACATTCATACCCAAAATAAAAACTCTTTCCTCTGCCAAGGGACATAAATGACCTGAATTCTGTCCAGCAACCTGGGCATGGGCCCAGTGCAAATAACTAGCACAGAAAAAAGTTACTTCCCACAGTAACTTCTACAATACAAATCAAACAAAGCTGGTACCTAAGAACTTGCATACATGCTAAAATGAACAAACATCTGTAGAATGGCTGGACATTACAAAGAACTTTGCATCAACTATCTCGTTTAATCCTCACAAGTCTATGAGGAAGGGAATGCAAAGGTTATTATCCCTATTTTACAGATGGAGAAACCAAGGAAAAGACTTACTTAAGGTCACACAGCTACTTAGTGACTGACCCAGGATTTGAACCCAGGTCTTCTATTTTCAAGTCCTGAACTCTTTCCACTATGCCACTTCCTCTTTGTGCTTCAGTTTTCTCATCCCTCAAATAATCCCTGTTTTGTCAAACTCCCAAGGCTCTGCAAGACACTATTTAAAAGGTGTTCAATGTCTGTAAGTGATTGTACCTGTTACCATGATGAATGAACAAATGTTGACCCAGAAGTCTCTAGTGGAGTATCCCAGGGATTTTGGTCCTGTGCTATGCAGTATTTTTATCGACAATTTGGACAGTGTATTAATCAGGTCTTAGATGTGGGTTCAAGAAACCAATGTGCAAAATATCTAGGGGTTTTCATGGATTTAATGAGCCAGCAATATAATGTGGCAGGGGAAAAAGACTAATGTGAATATAGGCTAGATGAATGGAAACATGGTGTTCAGAATGAAGGCAGTAAAAGTCTCACAGGTGGAGAGGACAGTAAAAGGAACAACATTGTAACATCAGACCAACCATAGGATTTAGAGTTGGAAAGAACCTGACATAGTCTTCCTCCTTCATTTTACAGATGAAGAAACTGAGGCCCAATGGGGAAAAAAATGACTTGCTTAAGCTGCAAATATCAGAGTTGGGATTTGAATCCATTATCTTCTGATCCCAAATCCAAGAATTTTTCCATTACACCATTTTACCTCAATGTCCTTTGCAATTCTAATCCACTCGTTAATTGTCATGTCACTGGAGTCAAAAAGTGGGTCATATTCCAGGATGGTATATAGAATCCGTTGGTTTTGGTTGCTGAGGCTATAAGAAGGAAAGTAACCAAGTTAAGTAAAAGTCAAGTGATTTGTCCATTCATCATGGTAACAGGTACAATCACAAGTCCTAAAGAGACTTGTGGGATTAATTCCATCCCCCTCTTTTGCTTGTATTATCTTCCCTCCCCACACCTGCACAGTTAGTATTTGCACTACATTTACTAGTATACTATAGATTACTAGTTACTATACATTAACCTGTATGGTTTTTTTTTAAGTTTTATTTAGTTTTTTTTAGTTTTGTTGATGTCTTTTATGCCCCTTGCTAACATACCACACACACACACACACACACACACACACACACACCCCATAACCCCTTTCACTTTCTCTCCCCCCACCCCTTAACAAAGATAAGCAAAACCAACCCAGTGACCACATCTGACAGACCCAATGACTTGTGCTTGACCTCTGGAGATTCATTCCTTCTCCTGGTTTCTTTCTGCATCCGTAAGGAGGTCAGACTAGGTGGCCTCTATCATCTTTCACAGCTCTCGCACTTGGTCTACAAGCATTTGACCTCCAAAAGGAAGCTTAATGTAGGGGAAAAGCTCAGGATTTGTGATCTAGGAGGCCTGGGACCAGGTCCTATCTGCGACTTCAGGCAAATCCCTTCCCCTCTCTTGAGGTCCAGTTTCCCCATCTCTTAAATGAGAGGATTAACCTAGGTAATCTTTAGGAGGTGGGTGGGTCTCATCCAGCTTTAAATCTATGATTCTTTGTTTTAGAGCTAGCAAGAACCTTAGAGATCATGAGAGAGTGAGGAAAGCAGCTAGGTGGCACAGTGTATACACATAGAGAGGTGGACCTGGAGTCAGGAAGACCTAAATTCAAATCATGCCTCAGACATGAGCTGTGTGACCCTAGGCAGATCACTTAATCTCTGTCTGATTCAATTTTTTTCATCTATAAAAGGAGATAATAGCAGCACTTACCTCCAGAGGTTGTTGTGAGGATAAAGTGAGATAAATTTGCAAAGTGCTTGGCAAACCTTAAAGTGATACTTTAACGCTAGCCATTATTATTGAAAGGAGCTGCTCTGGACTCAGGAGTGGGTTCAAATCCTATTTATGACACTACCTGTGTGACCTTGGGCAAGTCATTTTATCTGTTTGGGCCTCAGCTTCCTCTTCTGTAAAAATGGGGTGAGGGGGAGTTGTAATGGATGGCTTCTGATACCTCTTCTACCTCTAGGTCATAAATGTAATCCAATTCCATCCATTTCACAGATAAGGAAACCAAGGCCTATAGGCATTAGGTAATTTGTCCAAGATTATACATGGAGTTAAGTGGCAAAGCTGGGATTTGAACCCTGGGCCTCTCATCTCAAACCTGGCTCTCTTAACATGGGACTATGTGATTCTCTAAGAGCCTTCTAGCAGGGACTTGGAGAGATGGGGAGAAGGGGAAGGAGCTCTGTCTTTGACTGTCCCTTCTCAGAGTCACCTTCCCAATAACCTTCTTCTGCTAAGGGAGGAGGAGGGAAGGCACACAATTAGCCAGGAGATTATTATTGAGGGAGGATGTCTTGGCAAAATAGTCTCTCCTCCTCATGGGAAACCAACACAGGCCAGGTCAGAAACGGTCCTCAGAATTTAGAAACAGCCATATACTTCCAGGAAGGTAAAAAAAAATCTCTGGGGCAAGGTGACTTTAAAGAAAGGGAGAAAAAATTTAAAAAATAAAATAAAATAAAAAATTAAAAGGAGAAATGTGCTGCTGAGCTAGGGGTTTGTGTGGTGTGTTAATCAATGTTGAGTCAAAATGGCAAAGCTAGAAGGAGGGAGGAGAGAAAGGCCAGGGGGCCAGTAATGATTTTTATTCTGTGGTTTCAGTAGTGTCTAACTCTTCACGACCCAATTTTTTTGGGGGGGAGCAGGTGATTTGGCATAGATTCTGGAGTTTTCTTTCATTTCCTTCTCCAGTTCATTTTATAGATGAGGAAACTGAGGCAAACAAGGTTAAATAACTTGCCCAGGGTCACCCAGCTAGCACATGCCTGAGGTTAGATTTGAACTCAGGTCTTCCTGACTCCAGGCCTGATGCTCTTATCCACTGTGCCACCTAACTGCCCCCAAATAATGATTAGAAAGAGTACACCAAGAATCACAAAACCACAAAATTTTAGAGTTGGAAGGGATCTCAGCAACCATCTATTGCAACCCACACCCCAAAAGGAATCCCACTATACCCACAAGTCCAGCCTCTTTTGGAAACCCTCCAGTGATGGGGAACTCACTACCTCCCGAGGCAGCTCCTTCATTTAAAGAGAACTGTAAATGGTCTGGGGTTTTTCTCTGACATAAACGCCAAAAATAACAAGCTGAATTCCTCTTTCATGACCTTCTCTCCTTCAGGCCTCCCCAAGCATTCCTCCTCTAAACCTCTCTGCTGGGGTTTCCATATTAAGGCCATTTATCTCATCTCTTCCTCTTTCTCCCCCTCCTTCTTCACCTTCTCTTCTTCCTCACCTTAACATCACACAAACACACACACACACACACACACACACACACACACCCCATTTCCTCCTTTATTTCAGTCTCTGATGCAAATGTGACTTTTCTCTTCACCAAGACCAACCCATCTACACGCAACCTTGACCCCATCCTTTCGCATCTTCTCCAGGGCACTCTTTCTTCCTCTTATCTTTAAATTCTCCCTATTTACCAGCTCCTTCTCTGCTCCCTACAAACACACTCAAGTCTTCTGATCCTTACAAATCTTCACCAGATCCTACCAGCTCATCCACTATCATCTTGTATCTCTCTTCCCTTCCTCAGCCAAATTTCCTTGAAAATACAATCCATATTTGGTGGCTCCACTTCATCTCTCCTCTCACTCTTTTCTTTAGTTACTATCTGACTTCTGAACCTCATCACTCAAATGAAATTGATCTCTCCAAATTATCAAGGAACTCTTAATGAACAAATCTAAGAGACTCAGCCTCCAGCAGCCAATCTCCACCCACAGAAGTTGTAGACCACCAAGGGAAGCCCAATGCCTACTTCCTGCTCCTTTCCTACCCCTACCAGCCCAAATTCATCTTATATTTATCCTCTTCCACAACTTAATCATATACACATACTCTACCTGCCCCACCCCTACCTCCCCAGCAGCAGCAATCAAATGACCAAACTCAGCATCCTTGACCTTTACCCCAAAACACCAGCCTTGGAGAGGGTCAGAAATTCATCCCAAACTTCAGTTTAAGATGACAACATAAATCCCAGCCTTCTCACACAAACCTATGCACTCCAGCAAAACAAAACCAATAATAGAAGTTAGTTCCTCCAGTACAGAACTACACAGAAAGAGGGCCAGAAGGACAGCCAGAGCTCAGAAGAGGTTTCATACCATAGGGCACCAGCCCCAGTAAATGAACTTAAAGTCTAAATGTCAAGGAGAACATCATAGGAAAAATACGATTATTTGAACAAATGCCAAACCAAATAAAGAAATATTAAGGGTTAGAAGAAACATAAGAGGCAATACCATATTAAAGGAATAATTCCACAAATACAAGCAGAACCTCACAGAAACAATGGTTCGGCCACAAGGACAATACAAATGACTAGAAAAAATTAAGCAAGAAATAAAAAGTGGAATTAAAATTAAAATAAGAACTATGGAGAAGAAAATTGGAAGGAGAATAAACAGTCTATTATACAAGGTAGAAAGCCTTAAAAAAGTAAAGGTCTCCCTGAAAGTAACAAGCAGAACTCAGTGACTTCAGGAGACAAGAAATACCAGGACAAAATCAGAAGACTGAAAAAATAGAAGAACATGTACATCATGTAAAGAACACGTAGAGCATCATTCATAAATCCAAATCAGTGGAGAGAGAAAACAGGTGGAGGAGAACTAAATTAAGAATCATCAGATTCAGGGGCAGCGAGGTAGCCCATTGGATAGAGCACCAGCCTTGAAGTCAGGAGGACCTGAGTTCAAATCCGGTCTCAGACCAGACACTTGACACTCACTAGCTGTGTGACCCTGGGCGAGTGAGTCACTTAACCCCATTACCTAGCAAAAACAAACCAAAAAAAAGAGAATTAATCATCAGATTTCCTGAAAACCTTGACTAAACAAAAAACTTAAAATACTATTCTTCAAGAAGTTAATAAATGAAAAATGCCCAGATCTACTAGAACCAGAGGTCAAAGTGAAATCAGAAAGAATACACCAATCACATCATAGGAAAAACCACGAAATGAAACACACACAATAATGAAATAGTCAAATTCTAGAACTTCAAAGTAAAAGAAAAACTATTGTAAGCATCCAGAAAGAAAAGGATTCAAGTACCAAGGAACTAGTCAGAATCAAGCAAGATTATATAACTATTGTAAAGATGAAAAAAACCTCGGATACCCTATTCCAGAAGGGAAAAAGATGACTTACAAACAAGAATAACTTACCCAGAGAAGCTGAGTATAGTCCTAAAGTTGGGGGGGGAGGGCAGGGAATGGGAGGAAGTGACCCCTTAATGAAGGACTCTCAGATACTCCTGATAAAAACAGATGAGGGGCAGCTAGGTGGCGTAGTAGATAGAGCACCGGCCCTGAGGTCAGGAGGACCTGAGTTCAAATCCAGCCTCAGACCAAACACTTGACACGTACTAACTGTGTGACCCTGGGCAAGTCACTTAACCCCGATTGCCTCACTTAAAAAAAAAAAGAAAAAAACAGATATGAGCTGAGTAGAAAGTTTAAAATGTAAACACAAGTAGAAAAAAAACCTAGAAAGTTCACTACAACTGAGCAACTAGAAGAAGCTAAATAATTTTGAAAGTGCTTATCTTCTAATAGGAAAAGAAATAATTAATAAGTGTCCCTTCAGAGTTATACTATCTTTAGAGGTCACAAATGGATCTAACACAGTAACTTTATTTAGGTTTTGTTGTTTCGTTGATTTTAAGGAAGGAGAAAAAGGGAGGGGAAGAGGAATATACTAGAAGATAAATAAGGAGGAAGAAGGAAGAAGGGGAAAGAGTTTATTATTTTGCATAATTGCAATGCAAGAGAAGAGAATGCAGACATGGAAAAAGTAGTGAAAGACACGGAAGGGAGAAGAATGGATTAGAAAGCAGAATTGAACAATATGTTTTTTACAACAAACACATGAAATAAAAATATTGACATAGAACTAAAATAAAGATGAAGAACGTATTATGCTTCAGGCTAATTTAGAAAACAGGAACATTAAACATGATCTCATTCAAGACAAGAGTAAAGAAATGGTTAAGAGATAAGCAGGAAAACTACATTATGTTTAAAGGGACCACCACAGATTGTGAAATAATATCAATACTTAATATATATGCACCAGCTGGCATAGCATCTAAGTACTTAAAGAAAAATTAATTTGAAGAGAAAAATTATAATATAAATAAATGATAATTTCCTTTATAGAACTACATAATCTAATGTGTGTGTGTGTGTGTGTGTGTGTGTGTGTGTAAGTTAAGGACCTAAACAGAATTTTAGAAAGGATAGATAAGATAAATCTCTGGAGATTAATGAATTGGAATAAAAATGACTATATATTTCTCAGCTGTGTATGGTGTTTTTGTAGCAAATTGGCTATGTGCTATAGCATTAAAAATTTCATAAATCATTATGGAAAAGCAAAAATATAACACAATCTTTACTGGCTAAACATAATAAAAATTATAATCAATAAAGGGAATCTTAAGAAAGCATTCAAACTTAAAATGGAGGCTAAATAATTTAATATTAAGGAAGTGGCAGGGCAAAAAACAAACCATAGAAACGCTAATTTCACAAAACAAAATATCAAAAATAAGACAACATAAAATTTTGGGGATGCAGCTAAATCAGTCTTTATGAGAAAATTTATGTCTAAACACTTTCATCAACAAAAGAGAGAAACTAGGGTACATGCAAATAAAAAAAACATAGAAATACAATAAATCAACTAAACAAAAAACAAAATTCTGAAAATCAAAAACATAACAAACCCATTGAATGAGTAAGTAGGATCCAGTTTTTTTAAATAAAATTGATAAACTATTAGCTGATCTGATCCATAATAAGGGAGGAAAACTAAATTGTCAATATAAAAAAAATTAAAAAGACCACAAATAAAGCAGAAATAAAGGAAATTAGAAATTATTCTGCTCAAGTATATGCTAACAAAACTAATAAATGAAATAGATGTTCTATGCACAAAAATACAAAAATCCAGCTTAACAAAACAAGAAATAGAAATTTAAATAACCCCATCTCAGAAAAAGAAATAATACAAGCTAGCTGTGTGACCCTGGGCAAGTCACTTAACCCCAATTGCCTCGCCAAAAAAAAAAAAAACAAACAAACAAACAAAAACTAAAAAGAATACAAATCTTAATAAACTACAACCTGTTGGGGCAGCTAGGTGGTGCAGTGAATAGAGCACTGGCCCTGAAGTCAGGAGGACCTGAGTTCAAATCAGGCCTCAGAGCAAACACTTGATACTTACTAGCTGTGTGACCCTGGGCAAGTCACTTAACCCCAATTGCCTAAAAAAAAAAAATTAACTACAACCTGTCCCAAAAAAGTCACAGAACTAGATAAATTTACAAATGAATTCTATCAAACATCTAAAGAACAATTAATTCTAATATTACATAGTGTATAAAAAAAGAAGAAAAAGAAGGGGTCCTACCAAACCCTTCTGTGGGACAAATATGGTCCTAATATCTAAGCCAGGGAGACATAAGGAGAGAAAGAAAATCATAGAACATTTCATCAATGTAGAAATATTGAATAAAATATTAGCAAAGAGGCTATAGCAACATATTAAAAATTATACACTGTAATTAGGTTGAATTAATCAGGAATGCAGAGTTAGTTCAATACTCTGAAAACTAAATTTTAATAGACAATATCAATAACAAAAGTAATTTTAACTCACATTATTATATTAATAGATATCAAAGAAGCATTTAACAAAATATAACTCTCCTTTATTTTTTTAAAACACACTATAAAATATTGGAATAAATGGGCCTTTTTTTAATCTGGTAAATAATATCTATCTAAAAACAAGACTATGTAAGGATGTAATGGGGAAATACTAGAGACCTTTCCAGTAAAATCAGGGGCAAAGCAAAGATGTTCATTATCATATCTATATTTTACATTTCTATATTCTATAAATGCTAACTATAGCAATAATTCAGGGGGAAACATAAGGAAATGGAAACAAAAACTCAACTTTTGCATATGATAAAATGGCTAGTCATGTAGTCTGATAAATCATTTCACCTCTCCAGGACTGTTTTCCCTACTGATAAAAGGGGGTGACAATCCTTGCCTATTTCCTAGGATTTTTGTGAAGATGACATGAAATAATGAAGGTAGAAGTGCTTTGAAAAAAAGTGCAAAATGATGTACTTATATGAAAGAGGAGGAAGGGAAGAGTGAATAGGAAAGAGGGAAGAAAGAGAAGAAGTAGCAGAAAAAAAAAAGAATTAAGAGGAGAACTGAAAGCTCTTGCCCTCTCTCTCCCTTTCTGTAACATTTCAGTCTCTCACACTCAGGTTGTGGCCTAGACTGTATTCAAGGCTTCCATGGGTTTCCCATCATTCTTCCCTCCTCCCCATCCCAAACCATGTCCTGTGCTTAGACACAGTCCTTTGATACTCACGGAAGGGCCAGAGTATCTGCTGGTAGCTGGTGTTCTCGAGAGTATTCCTCATCATTAAACATGGGTAGCTTCCTCAGAGCAGTTAACAGATTGCTTCCAGGAACCAGCACTAGAAGCAGAAACAAAGAAGTAGTTGGTCTGCAGGGTGCTTTGACCCTAAGCATACTTCCCCTGAGACATGGCAGGTTGGAAACCCATGTTGTCATGAATGAATTTCATGGAAATTGACTATATCAAAGCAGTGAGGTTAAGTAGAACTCTGAGCCAAGAGTTCAGACCTGGCTTCTATTTCAGCCTCTGCTTTTAATTTTATGAGGTTACTGTGGGCAAGTGAGTCATTTCTCTCCAAGCCACAGGTTCCTCATCTATAAAATAGGTAGAATAATCTCTGCACTGCCAGCTTCCAAGGGCTGTTAGTGAGAGCGAGCTTTCTAATAATAGTGACTATTTCAGTGGTCATAAGAGAATAACAACAACAACGTTTCTATAAAACTTTAAGGTTTACAAAATGCTTTTCTCACAAGTTTTGTATAGTTATAATCTCCCATTTTATAAGTGAGAAACCTTGAGGTTACAAAGTTAATGAGTGTCAACTTTAACTAAAGAAAATAGCAATGGACCAAGACTGAGTCCTGGCTCAACCTCTGACTTGCTGTATGACCCTGAGCAAATCACTGACCCTCTTTGGGCCTCAGTTTCCTCATATGTCAAATGGGAATAATAATCCCTCTCTCCCTCCTCCTCCCCATTCTGTCCCCAGGATCCTAGGAAAAAAATACATGGGAAACTGCTTTGTGAGGTTCTATATGTATGCCAGTCACTATTACTATCGTTGTTGTCATTTCAGTCATGTCTGACTCTCCATGACCCCATTTGGAGTTTTCTTGGCAAAGATACTGGAGTGCTTTGCCATTTCCTTCTCCAGTTCATTTTCCAGGTGAGGAAACTGAGAGAAAGAGGGTTGAATGACTTGCCCAGGGGCACTCAGCCAGTAAGTGTCTGAGGCCAGATTTGAACCCAGGTCTTCCTGACTCCAGGCCCAGTGCTCTACCCACTGTGCCACCTAGCTGTCCACTATTACCATTAATAAACATTTATGCAGCATCTATAAAGCCTTGTGCTTGGCCCTCCAAGCGAAATAATGAAGAAAAAGATGCTCCTCCATCGCCAACCACCAGCCCCACCCCGACCAAGGAGCGCACTGTGGTAGTCACACATAACAATTTAAAAATAAACACAAGACCAAGTAGTAGGTTTATCAATACATTCATTCATTCATTCATTAATCAAACATTTATTAAGTGCCTACTGTATGTACATATGATATTTAGTTTTAGAAAGAGACAAAGTTTAAATAAAACACAGCACCTACCCTAATGGAATTTACAGTCAACATGAGCAAGGAACAGGTGATCAATATTAAGTCCACCAACCTGAGCTAAAAAACATACTTCTGCTATTTAAGAATGGATGTGACTTTAGTCAAGTCACTTAATCTCTTAGAGCTTTATCTGTAAAATAAGAGGTGGATTAGGTGATGTCTAAAGTTCCTTTCACCCTTTTTTTTTTTGCTGAATAATCTCTGACGTTTTAATTTAGCTGTACTAGTAGTACTAAGTTATTTCCCATTTTAACCTGCTTTTAAAAGGATACCAAGTATCATTTAGAAAAGCAAAGGATTTCGGTAAACAAAAAGTACATCCACAAAAACAGTAAACACAAATAGAAGGGCGTGTCTGGCAATGGGAGCCGTAGAAGATTCTTGAGGGGCAGCTAGGTGGCTTAGTGGATAGAGCACCAGCCCTGGATTCAAGAGGACCTGAGTTCAAATCCAGCCTCAGACACATAGCATTCACTAGCTGTGTGACTCTGGGCAAGTCACTTAACCCCAACTGCTCACAAAAAAAAAAAAAAAGAAAGAAAAGGTTTTTGAGCAAAGAAGTAGCATGGTCAGATCCATGTGAGTGAAAGATAATTTCGGGATTTGTGAAGGATTGAGGGGAGGAGGGAGCAGGGGGGTGCAGGCAGAGACCTGTTAGGAGACTTTTACAATAATTACAAAGGTGGTGATAAGTACCTATATTAAAGTAATGACAGAGAAGAGGAGAGGGAAGGATGCAATAAGTGTCTAAGAAGAGTAATTACTAGACCTTGATTACCAAGGAAAATGAGAAACCAGGGAGAATGGGAAAATGGGAAAAACAGAACAAAAATAATCAACAGGTAATAAAAACCCATGATGAGTGAAGATATGGTAAGAAAGGACCAAGTTGTCTTCAATGAATTCAAGCCACCAAGTCTAGGCAAACCATGATGGTTAGCTGTAGGGAGCAGGTTGCTACTCAATATATGGAAAACCTTCTTACTAATTAAAGCTATTTAAAAGGAAGAATGGACCACTTTATAAGAAAGTGAGTTCATTGCCACTCAGGGTAATAGATTTAGAGCTATACTGGGTCTTAGAGATGCTGTTTAATACAATCCCTTTGTTTTACAGATCCAGAGAATTTAAATGACTTACCTAAGGTCACACAGGTAGTAATAGAGTCAGAATTTGAACCCAGGCCCTCATACTCCAAATGTAGAACTCTTCAATGACCATTTGTTGGGAATGTTGCGGATAGGCTGCTTGAGCTTACAAACAGGAGACTGAAGCTTGAGTCCTGATTCTAACACTTACCTGTATTAGACCCACAGTCATTCTCCCCTCTCTGAGACTCAGTTTCCTTCTTTAAAATAGGAATTGTGGAGAGGAAAGCACTTCATAAACCTTAAAGTGTTATAGAAATGTGAGTTATTATTGTGATGATGTCTTTACAATGACAACCGTGATGATGATGACCTCTGAGGTGCCTGACACCTCTAATTCTAGGAAGTGATGCTTATATAAAGTGCAAAAGAAACACAGCAATAGGGAACATTAATACTTTCAGGCGGTGGTGTGTGCCATACATAGTCAGGAAGACCTAGACTCAAGTCTCACCTCTGCCACAAAATGGTTATGACCCTAGACAAGTCACTTAACTCTCAGTGGTCCAGACAACTCTCTAGAACTATACATTGGAAAGGGATTCCTCACTAGTTCTCTATACCAGTGAAATCACATCTTGGCCACAAGGTGGCACCAGAGAGCAAGGCCAGCTGAACCAGGAGCTAACAGAAGCAGGCTTGTACAACTAGCTCCCCCTCCTCTTCAGACCCCTTTGTTTCTGGGGCCGTGGAAACTGGGTTGAAATCCAAAGAACTGTTCCCTTTCTCCCTCAAACAACCTGTCATGTTAGGCAGCTAGGTGTCACATAGGCTAGAGAGCTGGATCCACAGTCAGGAAGAGTTGAATTTAAATCTGTCCTCAGGCGTTTATTGCATGACCCTGGAAGAGTCACTTAACTTCAGTCTCAGCTTCAATCTCCTCAACTGTAAAATGGGGATAATAATAGCATCTATTTCCCAGGGCTGTTGTATCAAATAAGAGTATTTGTAAAGAACTTTGCAAGCCTTAAAGTGCTATGTAAACACTACCTATCATTTTCTCTCTTAATTCTTGACTCTTTGCTCCTCCGGCTACAGAACTATCGTCGGTAGTGTTACCTTGGGTTCTAAAAGGTTAAAACTCATAATTTTAAATCTTTCCCTCCTGGGGTTTCGTTCCCCCTCAATTCCCAACCTCACTGCTAGAATTCAAGTAAGGAGATTCGGCAGATTCCTAGGGCCACCTGGATTCTAATCCATTGACACACAAACTGAGAAAATAATTGAAACAACACGGTTTCCAGAAGTGGTGGTTTCAGAAGTGTCTGTGGGGCTGCTGTAAGTAGGATAGAGGGAGTCAAGAGCAGGTGCTAGGCATCCCTCCTATCCAGGTCTCCAGTAGGGAAGGGTGACAGGCAGGTGAGGTCTCCAACCCCAAGGAAGCACAGAGGGAAAGTGAAAACAAGGCAGCCTCAGCACAGCCCCACCCCCTTGCATCTTGGATAGCTCCAGGATTCTGCCCAAGGTTCCAAGCTCAAGGCTTTCCTCCAGAACTTAGAAAGTGGTCATGCCAGGTGCCATTCAGTTCACCTCATAATGAAAGTTCAGCAAGCTGGCATGCAGCCCTGGCTCAACACCACCACTCTCCACCTGTTTGCCACATTTTTTCCTCCCCCTTTTCTTCTCAGTCTCACAATTGCTTGGGTTTTTCCCCCACTGCCCACCAGCACCCCTTAAAGGTCAGGGTCAGACAAAAAGCTTTGTAGGTAGTTTGCCTTCTGGTCAAGTTCAAAACCCCTGGAAGTTCGAGGAACTCTAGAAAAGGAGTTTGCTTGCATCAAAGTGGCTCTGCCCCCATCTCTGTTCTCTCCTTGTCTAAGCTCTTTTTGAAGAGCTGCAAAAAGGTACAGTAACAGACCACCAAAAAACAAAGCCAAAACCAAGTTATCAGAGTTAAGCAGAAAGAGTGGAAGGCTGAGGCCCATTAGTGAATTGCTACCAAGGAGCCAGTGATAGGCTCAGAGCCTCAAATTCAGGTATCATACCAATTCTGGGATCATACAAAAATCCAGATTTACAAACACGTACAAAAAGGGAAGTCCCCCTTTTTTATGAATAGGGTGTGTTTTAAAATTTTTAACTATTTATGTTGTCAGCCCAGTTAGGATGTGTGCTCCTCAAGGGTAGGGACTGGTTCATTTTTTGACTTTATATTTCTAGAGATCAATTTATCTACATATGGATTATTTTGGTCTCAGAAAAAATTTTCTCATGGAAACCATATAATATGGGATGCTTAGGTTCCCATGTAAGCCCTTCATAAAATCATAGACTTTCTACATTAGAAGGGAAATCAGAGATCCTGAGTAGGAATCTCTGCTATTATACCTCCCAACAAATGGTCCTTCAACCTCCCATGACAGAGAACTCCCTGCTCCTGAATTCACTATCACCCATTCCCTGTGTGAACACTTTTAGCTGTTGTAAATCAATGTAAATCAATGTTGTTGTGATAAACCAATAAGCATTTATTAATCACCTACTTCATGTCAGGCTTTGTGTCAAACACCGAGGATACAAAGAAAAAATTAAAAGAACCTTTGACCTCCAATGATAATTTTTTTAAAACAAATTTTCATT